CATTTCTCTCTCCCCCTTTTTTCTAATTTTCTTAGTTAATTTCCGTCCTTCCTTCCTTCCTTCCTTCCCCCTCTCTTTCCCTTCTCTTCATCCTGCTTTCCTGATTTCTTCCTCCCTTTTTTTCATACTCTTACTCTCATTATATCTTAGTTCATTATTTTCCTTCCTTCCTTCCTTCCTTCCTTCCTTCCTTCCTTCCTTCCTTCCTTCCTTCCCTCTTCCTTCCTTCCTTCCTTCCCCTTCCCTCCCTCCCTTCCTTCCTTCCTTTCTTCCTTCCTTCCTTCCTTCCTCACTTCCTTCTTTAACTTCTTCCTTTTCTTTTCCTTTCTTCCTCCCTCCCCTTTTTCTTTCCTTTTTTTATCCTTCTCTTTTAATCCTCATTTCTCCCTCTCCCTTTTTCCTAATTTCCTTCCTTCCTTCCTTCCTTCCTCTTCTCTTTCTTTCCCTTCTCTTCATCCTGCTTTCCTCATTTCTTCCTCCGTCTCCCTTTTTCTTATTCTTACTCTCATTATATCTTAGTTCCTTTTTTCCTTCCTTCCTTCCTTCCTTCCTTTTTTCCTTTTCTTTTCCTTTCTTCCTACCTCCCCTTTCTTTCCGCATTTCTCTCTCCCCCTTTTTTCTAATTTTCTTAGTTAATTTCCGTCCGTCCTCCTTCCTTCCTTCCTTCCTTCCTTCCTTCCTTCCTTCCTTCCTTCCTTCCTTCCTTCCCCCCTCCCCCCCCTCTCTTTCCCTTCTCTTCATCCTGCTTTCCTGATTTCTTCCTCCCTCTTTTTTCATACTCTTACTCTCATTATATCTTAGTTCATTCTTTTCCTTCCTTCCCTCCCTCCCTCCCTTCCTCCCCCTCTTTTTTTCCCTTCTTTTCATGCTTCTTTCCTCATTTCTCCCTTTTTTCCTATTTTCTCTCCTTCTTTTTTAGTTAATTTTTCTTTCTTTCTTTCCTCCCTTCCCTCCCCAATATCTCTCCTGGCAGTACACAGTTGCTTACACCTTTGGAAATCACTAAACAAGTGACAACAGAGGGAAGAAGAAAACTGATAAGATGTCCATGACTCCCATCTGTATCTGGGATATCCATACAGGAACATTCCATCACCATTTCAGAAAAGCAAAAACATAACTGAATGGTGGAGCCATGCCTATAATTGCTTGGGTAGATCTGACATTTCGCTCCTGTGGCCAGTCATCCTCTTTAGCTCATCAACATGCTAATGAAATCCTTTCCATTTTCATTACATACCTTATCTTAGACACAGTGACATCATCCCCGAGTCTCTGTGCTTCTCTATATAATGCAGGCAGATCATGGCTGGTGGGAGGGGGTCTGGCAGGGTGCTTTATATAGCTTCCGGGAAACATCACAGCCCCCTGCCTCAGTACTCCTCTCTAGAGCCCTCAGTCCTGATGCCAAAAGTGGGCTGGCTCTTGGGAGGAGTTATGCAAATCTCAAAATGCCTTAAAGGGTGGGTGTCAGTTTGGAGGAGTGGGTGTTTTCTAGGCAGGCTCTTGGTAACGCCCACATGTGATGCCGAGCCTCCACGATTGAAAGAAATAAAATCCAATGAATGAAAGGGGAGAGCCAGGGACAGGGCAATCCAATGAATGAAAGGGGGGGGGCAGAGGCAAGCTGTGGAGGAAAGTGCCAGATGATACTGGATGTCCTCCAGCTAGGAAATGAGGCGGGCTCTATCTAATGCAGCTTCTAATGCACATTGTGAGAAGCTCACAGTGTGCAGTAAAATCAGAGTCAGCTTATCCCCCGTAGTCATGCACATGTGCAGACTTCAGGACCAGCATTTGGTGAGAGCCAGTTCACCCAGCGGTATGTATTTAGATTCACACAGATAGCGCCATGGAAGGAATTGAAGCGAGGACCCCGGTGCTGCAATGAATACAGATCTGCCACGACACCCATTTATCGTCTGCTGCGTGTCAGGCGATCGGCGCACAGCTATGTCACTTTTTTGGATTGAGAAGACGGCAAATATGAGGCGCTTATCTGCAGTGTTACAGTAGAACGGCGTGTCGTACGTCCGTTAATAATTAACGCCTCCGGAGTGGACTTTTTCCCCTCACCCTTCTCTCTCTTCAAACAAATACACTCCGCTTCAAACTGTCACATTCCAGTTGGTGGGATGGTAAGGCCACGTCGGCTGCAGCCTGCGGTGTGATTGCCATGTGATCAGTGCCACCTGACCCCCCCCAACACTCTATGCTTTTATCCCCATTGCTGCAGCCTGCGGTGTGATCGCGGTGTGATGAGTGCCACCTGACCCCCCCCCCAACACTCTATGCTTTTATCCCCATTGCTGCAGCCTGCGGTGTGATCGCCGTGTGATGAGTGCCGCCTGACCCCCCCCCCCAACACTCTATGCTTTTATCCCCATTGCTGCAGCCTGCGGTGTGATCGCCGTGTGATGAGTGCCGCCTGACTGACCCCCCCCCCCAACACTCTATGCTTTTATCCCCATTGCTGCAGCTGGTCAACTTTACCCGACTTTACCCTCACCGATCCGGCCTTGATTCATCTCTTTAAGAGAAACTCCGCCTCTTCACTCCAAAAATAATAAAAATAATGAAATCATATATTCAAATACATATACAGTGGGGATCGAAGGTTTGGGCACCCCAGCTAAAAATTTGTATTAATGTGCATAAAGAAGCCAAGGAAAGATGGAAAAATCTCCAAAAGGCATCAAATTACAGATTAGACATTCTTATAATATGTCAACAAAAGTTAGATTTTTATTTCCATCATTTACACTTTCAAAATAACAGAAAACAATCAAAAAATGGCGTCTGCAAAAGTTTGGGCACCCTGCAGAGTTAATATCTTGTACTGCCCCCTTTGGCAAGTATCATCACAGCTTGTAAACACTTTTTGTAGCAGCCAAGAGTCTTTCAATTCTTTGTTTTTCCAAAGATGGCGGCCAGGACCCACATGGTGCCGGCGGCGTAATGTCACAATGCTGTAGCCCCTCCCCTCCCTTGTGACGTCACGCGGCAGGCACCACGTGGGTCCCGGCAGCCATCTTTGGAAACTGCAGCTGGTCAGTGAGAATTGTTCTGTCCTTTACTATTACCATTACTGTTATCTTTTTGGATAAATACCTACTTTTTTAAAACGATATCACGCTATTGGCCTCCTCTTTCTGGGGCTCCCTGGGAGCTTTAACTACCCACAGAGCGGCTGTACCATTGCTGGCAGTGGATATCGGACAGTGAGGGACAACAGACAAGACCTTAAAGGGACCTCCAGGTTTCTGAGATTGATATCTCTAAATGCGCAGATTGATTGCGCATCTGGTGAGTGCGCAGTCTTTATAATTTGGACCATATCACCACCTTACTGGATTAGACCACCAGTTCTTGAAGATCACCACGATCTCCTATGCACCTTATTTTGGACTATATGTTGATCAACGTTTCCAGCACTTTATACACCATTGGTCACTATATTTATCTGTTAGCACCTTATCACTGGAGTCACTTATATATCAGTACATTTGATGTTTTATATGTGCGAGCAATTCGATGAGAGTGACACTTTTATATGGTATCACTAAGTCACTTTATTATTTATCACTAATACTTTGCCAGTTGTCATTTATGAGTTTATGATCCTATCGGTTCTTTCATTTTTCCTGAATTTATGTGGTTATTTTTAGTGCTACACACTGTTATATATATATATATATACTGCTACCAAAAAGTTAAAGGAGATCAGAGTCTAGCATCAAGTCAGTGAAACTCCTGGGATCGTGATCTGGTCAGTGAAGTAGCAGGGGGGTTGTTAATCAGTTTCAGCTGCTTTGGTGTTAGTGAAATTAACAACAGGTGCACTAGATGGGCAACAATGAGACGACCCCCAAAACATAAATGGTTTTTACAGGTGGAGACCACTGCCATTTTTTTTCCTACTCATCCTTTCTGACTGTCTTTCACTAGTTTTGCATTTGGCTAGGGTCAGTGTCACTACTGGTAGCATGAGGCCATACCTGGACCCTACAGAGGTTGCACAGGCAGTCCAACTCCTCCAGGATGGCACATCAATACATGCCATTGCCAGAAGGTTTGCTGTGTCTCCAAGCACAGTCTCAAGAGCATAGAGGACATTCCAGGAGACAGGCAGTTACTCTAGGAGAGCTGGACAGGGCCATCGAAGGTCCTTAACCCATCAGTAGGACCGGTATCTGCTCCTTTGTGCAAGGAGGAACAGGATGAGCCCTGCCAGAGCCCTACAAAATGACCTCCAGCAGGCCACTGGTGTGAATGTCTCTGACCAAACAATCAGAAACAGACTTCATGAGGGTAGCCTGAGGGCCCCAAAATCCTCTAGTGGGCCCTGTGCTCACTGCCACCATAGAGCTCGATTGGCATTTGCCATTGAACACCAGAATTTGCCAGTCCACCACTGGCACCCTGTGCTTTTCACAGATGAGAGCAGGGTCACCCTGAGCTCATGTGACAGACATGAAAGGGGTCTGGAGAAGCCGTGGAGAACGTTCTGCTGCCTGTAACATGGTTCAGCATGACCGTATTGGTGGTGGGTCAGTGATGGTCTGGGAAGGCATATCCATGGAGGGACGCACAGACCTCTACAGGCTAGGCAATGGCACCGGGGAGACCAGATATAGTGAATGCAGGGTCCTGGGAGACTGGATATAGTGAATGTAGGGTCCGGGGAGAGCAAATATACTGATTGCAGTGTCCGGGGATACCAGATACAGTGAATGCAGAGTGTGGGGAGAGCGGATATAGTGAATGCAGGGTCCGGGGAGAGCGGATATAGTGAATTGCAGGGTCTGGGAGACCGGAATATAGTGAATGCAGGGTCCGGGGAGACCAGATATAGTGAATGCAGAGTCCAGGGAGACCGGATATAGTGAATGCAGGGTTCGGGGAGACCAGATATAGTGAATGTAGGGTCCTGGGAGAGCGGATATAGTGAATGCAGGGTCCGGGGGAGAGCAGATATAGTGAATGTAGGGTCCGGGGACACCAGATATAGTGAATGCAGAGTCTGGGGAGAGCGGGATATAGTGAATGCAGGGTCCGGGGAGAGCGGATATAGTGAATGCAGGGTCCGGGGAGACCGGATATAGTGAATGCAGGGTCCGGGGAGACCGGATATAGTGAATGCAGGGTCGGGGGAGACCAGATATAGTGAATGCAGGGTCCGGGGAGACCAGATATAGTGAATGCAGGGTCCGGGGGAGACCGGATATAGTGAATGCAGGGTCCTGGGTTTAGTATCACTTTAATGGTAATGGCACCCCAAACGCAGATCACAAATGCATTACATTTTTGGGCACCAGCACGTTTTTCAAAAAGTAGCGCATGCATACTTTTTGGCCATTCAAATGAATAGGCTGAAAATCGCACTGCAGGGGATCGCACAGGAATGCGGTGATTCTGGTGTGAACCGGCCCTTATAGTGAAGATCCATTTTAGAGTCAGCCACCTACAGAACGATTGTTCTTCCAGTGCAATGAAGATTTCATCAACATTCACGATGACTGGACAGTTCTGTGCACTAAGATGCAAAGTGACTGATAGATTGGCGGGGTCAGACAGAGAATGACCTATAGTAAAAACTATTCTGGCCAGACAATCATTAACAACCTGAGACATCATGTGACCCGGCTTGTCGCTGCCACACCTGAGCACAATTAGTGTACAGTGCAGGTTCAGCTACACAACCCACTGATCTCCTTATTGTCGATATTAAATCAAAGCTAAAACTTTTATTTTAATTACTGAACTGTTGGGGACGAAACTTATTGGGGGAAAAAAACAATTGGCTCTTTGATCTTTAGAATGAATCTTGCTGGGAGAATATGCTGTCCACCTTTCCAGATTTACCCTCACCTTAGACTTCCGTCCCAATGATGCTGTGTCCCAGGCCATGCCCAGGATCACAGTGTTTACTCGATTCATTTTTGGTGTTCAGGAGTGGTGGGGTTTGGGTGGTACACTCCAGTAAGTGCATTGGCAGCCCACTCAATATGAATAAGATGCCTTAAAGTGGTTGTAATCCTCAGACATGAATTAGGAACAAAGCATATCCCTCTATAGGGTGCACTTGTCTCAATCCAGAGTGTCATTTCTGTCTGCTGCTCCATTCCTTCTGCTATCAGCATTAGTCACTTCTGACAAGTTTTCCTGACACCAAGAGAAAAAAGGTGACAGGGATGGAGCTCCAGCCTGTAATGGACAACTCTGTTCCTGTGTGCTGTGTGAAGGAGGAGGAGGGGAGGGGTCGGGGTCCCGTCCCTCCCCCTCCTTCCAAACAGCTCATAGCTCTCACTGAGCTCTGCAGAGTGTGACTTCAGCTCTCCACCCCTTATTTACAAAGCTCAGAAATACTGTAAGGCTCCATGTACACGAGCCTACCCTGATCGCTGGGAAAATGCAAAATGCGGCGCCATGTTTCCCCGTGGCCAGCGCTCAAAACGTTTCCTATCCTGAATGTGATTCTTCTGCGTTCAGGAGAGGGAGGTTTAAACCTCACCTAACCGCGGCAGCTCCTAAAACTCTGCTAAAAGCCTGTGTGTACATGGACACATAGGCTTTTATGGAGTTGAGTTTTGGAGCTTTGGAAAAAATGCCAAAAGGTCCTAAACTCGAGTTTAGTCATCTGCTTGTGTACATGAGCCCTAAAAATTCTACACTTTGAATGGCTGTAGAGAAGAGAAGACCGCAGCTAAAAAGGTACAACTTATGTAGCAGGATTTGTTTAATCTCTGTGCATCACCCCAAGGCTAGTGTTGGGCTCGAAGCCAATCATGGCTCACGGCTAAGTCCACGCCCCACACTGCTTGCTTACACTGGCAGCCTTGAGTAGTGTGTTTGCTTGGACACTGCCGAAGTACAGAGGTGTGAATAACGCTCCCCAATAATTAAAATATAATATGAGAAAAATAATGTGGAAAGAAAAAAAACAAAACCAATAAAGGATAAAACAAAAAAATACATTACAAAAAAAAAAACAGCGTGCCCCCCCCCCCCCACCCAATTTTTACCAGCCTTTAGGTTGGTAGGAAGGTTTGGAGGGGGCCCCCCATAAAGTTTTTTTTAAAAATGCATGGGGGTTTCCCCTAAAAGCCTACCAGGCCCTTTATCTGAGCAAAGGACTGGCAGGGCAGGAAAAGGGGGGGGGGGAAACGAGTGCCCCCCCCAAAACTGCGCTTACCAGGCCATTGCCCCTT